TATGCAAGTCTGTCAGGACCTACTGAACCAACACAGGGTTGAAGGTGATTTCCCTGGATCGCATCATTACCAGTGACAAGAGGTGGTGCCACCACCATGAGCCAGAGTCAAAATGGCAGCATATGGACTGGTGACATCTGAATTTCCCATTGAAGAAAAACTTTTAGGACACAGTCCTCAGATGGTAAAGTGTTGTGCACAGTCTTTTGGGATAGGAAAGGAGGGATCATTCTGGATTTCCTGGAACATGGATAAACCATCAACTCAGACTGTCAGGTCACAACGCTGACTAAGCTGAAGGCTTGAACTTCCACAGTCAGGCCAGAGAAGGCGACAATCCTTCTCTTGCAATACGATAACTCCAGGACCCATATTAGTTTGAAGACCATGGAGCACACTGCCATTCCTGGCTGGCCTGTCCAATGACACTCTGCACAGTCCAGATTGGGCACCTTCTAACTTCCATCTCTACTGGCTGATGAAAGATGGACTGCATGGGCAACAACTTCTAACAACAATACCATCACAGCAGCTGTGAAACAGGGGGTCACCTCCACTAGTACAGACTTTTACAAGTGCAGCATGCAGGCTCTTATTCATCACTGGCAAAAACACATAGCTGATGGTGGCGGCTATGCTGAAAAACAGTGTTTTGTAGCTGAGAATTTTCTCTATCAGTGTTATTGTGCTCTTCATATCTGCTGTAGTTTCTATGGAAATAAACAGGAGGCATTACTTTTGGAGCAACCTACAAAGAATAATTTGGGTCGGAAGAAACCTGTGGAGATCTCTGATCCAACCCCAGATCTTGTCCAGTTGAGTTTTGGATATCCCCAAGGGTGGGTTTTTCCACTGCCTTTCTTGGCCCCTCTTTTACCACTTGCAGTATGAAAATATTCCTCTGAAAATTCCATCTGGAATTTTCTTAATGCAATTTGAGCCCACTGCTCCTCATCTTTTTCTATGTACCTCTGAGAAGAGCCTGGCTCTGTATTCACTATACTGTATTCACTAGCAATTAGAACAATTAAAGAGCAAAATAAGATCTCCCCAGAGCCAATCCAAACAATCTCAGCTCTCCCACCACGTGCCATGTGCTCCAACCCTCTCATCTCAGCAGCTGTATGATGGACTTACTGCTGTACAAAACTGACCACAATACTCCAGATAGGCTCCCAGAAGTGAACAGCAGAAGGGACTTATTGCCTTCCTTGCTCTTCCTACTGACACTCCTTTATCACTACAAGGGTGCACTGCTGACTCGTGGCCAATCTGCTCATGTCCAACATGTGAGTAATGGGATTATGCTGTAACAATATCTAGGCTTGTAGTGTATTAGATGTCTCTACAACTCTAGGCCATCAATGAATAATGTCTGCTTGCTGCTGTGTTATTATTTCCTTTATCAACTAATAATACTTTTGTAACTATCTGGGATTTCAGACTTCAGGAAAAAGACAGAATTCAAAACAAAAACAAAAGAACAAGTAGAGGTAGAAATTGTTGTTTTAAGAAGACTGTTAGAGACAAGAACTCAAGTATAAGAACTTTACGAGCCACAAAATAACAGCCAGAATTTACTCTAAAAGTTAAAAGCAATCTGTGCCCATCACAGAAGAGGAACATCTCGGATTATTTCCTCTCTATTCACAGGACAAAAAGGTAGATCTAGTCTGCCACCAGACCTGCTTCAAGGGGCCCCACACAAGGACTGCAGTAGCTCCAGGTTGACTACAACAAACTTGCCACTGAACTGCAACGTGACCAAAAAACCAAACCCGCCACCACCAAGAAGATACTTTTTAAGAATCTCCAGAGACAAAAAGATGCAAGCAACATCTCACACTGCAGCAGAAAACCTAGAAAGAAAGTCTAAATCATAGGCCACACTCTCCACAAGTCTTTCAATCACTCTAGATCAGGTGCAGGTCTTCTGACATCGTCACACCAGCATCTACTCCACGGAAGCTAATTCCTATCAAAGCAGAAAGCTGTTAATCATTTGCAAACTGTCTGCTATGGACCTTCAGAATAAAGGAAACAGGCTGCTGCACCACCTGAACTCCTACTCCTACCTCATTCCTCTTGTAGATAAGTGCAAACCAAGGTGACAGAAACCTGAAACACACCAAATGTCTTTTTTTTTTCTTTTTTTCAGCATGACTGATTCCTTGGTTAAGTAATTTGTTGTTTGCTCTGGTGAGACGATGTGAGAGAGCAGCAAACTGGTATTTATCTTCAAAGCTACAGACAAGGAGGATCTGGCAATCTCCAGCTGTTCACAAGTGGTTTATCTGATTAACCTTCATACTGGATATCGACGCCTGATGAGACCAGCAGCTACCTGACACTGACAGACAGAATTATGGTCAGATTATTATATCATTATAAAGGACATCAGATGGTCTGGACATACAGTTTTAGGGGTGTTACTCCGATCCTGCATCACATGAACCAAAAATCGGAATAAGGATTTTTATTCTTCCCTATTGCTTTAAAAAGGCGACGCTTGAAACAATGACTTTTTTTTTCTCAAGATGCTATAGTAAGCAATATTTCTTCTAAAATTGCAGCTGTCCAACAGTTTGAATCTGTTCTTTTTAAAATGAAACAGCCAGGACAAATGGTGGTGGCAATCCCAACATAAAGAGGCCATCGATTATTAAAATCTCCTTCCTATAAATCGTGGATGTTGCTTGTCAGCTTGGTGTGTGACTGCAGTATGAATAAGGTAAAATTCCACTAAGGCTATAGTTTGCTGGATCATTCTGCTGTGCAAAAATAGGGAACAAAAGCTCTCCCTGTCCTTTCACTCCTTAGTACCAAAACACTCACACACACATTAAGAAATAAACTGCAATGGTGCAATGGCAGCTGATCCAATTCTGTGCTTTCCCCGAGTCTGCCCTGATGCTACTTACAAATTTGCCTACTCAAGAAATGCAATAAAACAGAGCAAGACGGCTTCATTCTGCTTCAGTGATCTATACCTAAGGAAAGCACATAAATTTTCCAATGAAATCCATAAATGAAAGACGAGGCCAAGCCCTACCTATTTATCTTTGAAGTTACAAAGAGGTGCCAGGTCTGCACCCTCTGAAAGCACAAAATCTCCACACTTACCCAAGCAATTTTGGTGAGACTAACAGATGTGAGGATGATGTAAGCTAGCCTACACCCTGAGTGGGTTTAGGCTGCCTAAAAACCTTCTGAGGAGCCAAATTTGGGAGGTCACAAAGCTGACTGATAGCTGTGCATGAGGAAGGGAGGATGAGAACAAACCAAGTAACTGTGACTTCCCTCTGTCCCCTCAAAAGCGGATGAGACAAGAAGGAAGCCCATCCTTCAGAATTCAGCTATTTCCCCCTCTTCAGCTATTCCCACCTAAGTGGGGAAGATACAAATGGAATGTTTTGGAAATACTATGGAAATTTTTATATATATCTATATACAAAAATTTACATAGTTTTTTTTTTTTTGTTTTTTTTTTTT